CTATATATATTTGGTTTGGAATATTGCTCTTCAGGGATCTCCACTTTTACAGAATACAACAAACATCCAAACATTGAAGAATTTGTACAAACAGTAAAGGAATTATATAAAAGTCAATACAAAAAATAAACTTGTTACGAGCTCGAAGAGCATATACAAAGGGCCTGCTAAAATGAGCATTACTGTTACGCGACCAAAAAAAAGATAGTAATGTATATTTTGAACTGAACTTGTACTAACTATGGAGGGTAGTGATGGCTGGGGGATAATGCTGTTTCTCCAATTTGGAGATCAAAATAAAATTTATTTTTATATATATATATAAGAAGTTCATGAATGTAGGAGCACATTTGGCACGAATCTTTATGAGTCGATCAATCTGTTTTCTATTCAGAATGATTTTTAAGTATTTTTTTCCCCTTTCCCCATTTATTTATTTGCATTTTGTGAAAAATGGCTGTTTACCTCCTGTTTCAAGTTCAAATTGCTATGAAACTATAAAAAAGGTTTCAAAATTGTTCAAACTTAGCACAAATGTTGACTCAACCATAGCCTTTGTAACGGCATACTTATTCTATTATAAATTCGTATTACCATGGCAACGAGGCGACATCTCAAAATTGCCAACAATAACTATTTTGCGTTGATTTTTCCATCAAAACTGATTTCAAAGTGCTGCAACTTCTAAATGAATTGAGATAGAGTCAAAGGCTTTTCAGCGTTGGTTACACATTACCTGAAGATTTACCTGAGGATATTTTAGGTGAATAATTGTGTACAGGTATAAAAATATTTGATGGCTGTGTCGGTTACTATTAAAAAAGTGTTGACTTCCCTGATTAGTACCATCCTGTTCTATTATCTGATAGTGTCAATTATCTTGAAGCAATTGTTAAAAGAAGTTATTTGGAAGGTTATTATTTTCCATAGCGAACTTTTTTCACAAATATTCTCCGTAATCTGTGGCACACTTTTACTCTTCTTCCGTTTTTTCCCATTTAGAACAACAAAAAAGCATAAAATTTACTTTCCTCCTTGACTACATAATTATCCAAAAGCTACCTTATCTGTCAATCACTTTAGAATGCATATCACTTAATATATTTTAACGAAATTTTGGAAAATTTATTTTCCACAAAAAATTTGAAAGTCCATTAATTTGATGCATGCGCATATCATATATGTAATGCGTAGGAAAATACCTTCAATTTTTCCAAAACATAATGGCTTTTTTGCTCACCCGACCACAAAGTTGTCAAGGTGAGGTATAGTGTTGGGGCTATGTCAGTCGTCGTGCGTCGTCAACTTTTTGGCGGGCTGTTAACACTCTGGCAGACACATTTTTGATTGGATCATAATCAAACTTTGTCAGAATGTTTGTCTCAATAAAATACAGGTCAAGTTCGAATATAGGTCATCTCGGATCAAAACTAGAACACATGTGCTAAAAATATATAATAAAAAATGTTAAAACACTAGTGGCTGCAGTTTTAAACCAAATATCCTGGAAATTAATGAGGAATATTGTTTTGATGATTTCTACGTCAAGATTGAATATAGGCTATCTCCGATCAAAAACTAGATCACGGAGCTAATAATAGAAAAATCTTGTTAACTCTCTAGTGGCTGCAGTTTTGATTCAAATATTCTGGAAATAAGTCAGGAAGATTGTTTAAATGATTCTATGTCAAGTTCGAATATGGGTCATCTCAAGTTAAAACATAGGTCACAGAGGCTAAAAGTAGAAATATCTTGTTAACACTCTAGTGAATACAGTTTTGATACAAATGTTCTGCAAATTGATGAGGAAGGTTGTTTTAAAAATTTCAAGATCAAGTTCGAATATGGATCATCTCTATTAAAAAATATGGCAAATGAGCTAATAATAGATAAATCTTGTTAACGCTATAGTGGTTGCAGATTTGATTCAAATATTCTGGAAATTGATTAGAAAGGCATTTTGTTGATTTATAGGTCAAGTTCGAATAATGATCATCTCGATCAAAAACTAAGTCACAGGAGCTAAAAATAGAAAAAATATTGTTAACAGTCTAGTAGCTGCACTTTTGATACAAATATTCTGTATTGTTCAGAAAGGTTGTTTTGTTGGTTTCTAGATCAAGTTAAAATATGGGTCATATCCGGTCAGAAAAAAGGTAAAATAAAATATCTTTGAAATTGATCTGAAAATGTTTTTCTTAATTTCTATGTCAGGTTTGAATATTTATCTCCTGGCGTCAATAACTAGGTCACACCGTCTAGATAATTGCTTGGAGGAGTTTGAAATGGGTCATCTATTATGAAAGGCTAGGTCACAGGAGGTAATTGTTAACTCTCTCGTGGCTAATGTTGTTATCCAAATATCCTGGAAATAAGTCTGCAAGTTTAAATTTCATGATTAAAAACTAGGTCACACCGCCAAAATATGGAAAAACCCTTTCAACACTCTAGTCCATTTTGGACTTAATTTTCTTCAAACTTCGTGAGGATGCTTGCCTTAGTAATTGCTCGGATGAGTTCGATGGGTCATGTGAGCGATCTTGTTGATATATAGGAACGTGTTTTATATACAATTTATTTAAAATAATTCAATTTTTCCAATTTTAAATGCTTCGTTTTTATATACATTAATCTGAGTATAAATAATCAAAAAGTTTGAATGTATAAAATTTGTTTATTAGTTTGATTGGATTTTACGTCACACCGACACAGTGTATGTCATTTGGCTACGTTCCAGCTTTACTGGTGGAAGAAGACCTCAGGTGCCATTCCGTGCATTACTTCAGGCACCAACGATTACCTGAGTAGAACCACCGATGTTCCGTAAGCTAGCTGAATAGCTTACTCACATGAAAGAATCCAAAGTCCCTGTTGGGATTCAAACCAACAGCGGTGAGGGGCAAGTGGTTTGAAGTCAACGCCCTTAATCACTAGGCCACGGACGCCCCATGTTTATATAAAGTTAAGCAAGATGACGAACATCTACGTTACACTAGAAATCTAAGTGGAAATAGTATTCTAGATTAAATGCAATCAAATGAAAAAGATAAGAAAATTATTTAAACTACAAGCTGCCGTAATCTATTTAATTCTATTCTATTCTCATCGTTGGTTACACGCGGTATATATTAAGTACACACTACATAATCTACCACGTAGATAATGTAGTATGTAGGGAATATATACCGTGGGTAACCGACAATGTTCTATTCTGTTCCATTCTATGAAGCCTATGAAGTATACGTATTGCATCTAGATATTATAACATTTTAGACTACGGTTGGACATAACACTTGATTTCATAGGCATTGTTGCCGGTACGCATATGGAGAGACATAAATGAGTGTACCTTTGCCTCGGCTATGGTCACGTGCTTATATTATATGAAATGAATATAACATTGATCAAAATGTCACTCATTTATATAGTTCCATAAACTGTCTGCCACTTGATTACCATTTAATGAAGCACATTTGTTTGTGATGAATGAAAGATGATACAACTTTAACCTGCATATAAAATGGAAAGGTTTTTAATTTACATCCTCTTGTACGGTGGTGAAATTTTGATTTCATAAATTCACGATCTCAAAATCACTAATTCAACATCATTATTTTGTAAAAAAATTCGTGAAGTTGAAATTATGAATTTGTAAAGTTGAAATTGTGAAACTCTAAACGTAAAATCGTGACTTTGATTTAATGAAAAATAATTGTGTTGTTGAAATTAGTGAAGTTGATACCGTAAATTCAAGTAGCAATTAATTCCACTTTTAAGTATTGTTTGAAAATTATGATCGTTTAACAGAAAAATAATCGATTTTCTTTCTTAAAAGTATTTAACAATTTTTTTAATTAGCATTAATATAACAATGTCACAATGTACTCAGGGGGTATATTTTAAATGTTTAGCTTTTTCATTTTCTTCCCTTTTGAATATTTATTGGAGAAATATGTATGATATTTAGACAAACAATGTAATTGGAATATAAAAACACAAATACTATAACTCCAGAAAGTTATCTCTATTCATCCTGAAGAGCATGATGGAAGATATATGATAATACACAATAAAATATATATTTAATTTCTAACATAACTTTCATGTTATCGTTAACAATAATTGTATACATATAAATTACATTATGATATATATCACAGAAAAGTCAACTGAAACCAAGAAACTGGTGTAAATTTTATCTTATTAACTTCCTTGTTATTAATCCTGGAACTGTTTAATTCATGAAATGAATTTGCCTTTTTTGAGTTTGGCACAGTCCATTTGAAGTGTTTAAGATTTCAATATTAGAATAGAAAAAAGCTGGTCAGACAGCTCGAATGTACATGTTGGCTTGAGTGTATACTGGTGGCAAAGGCTAATCACTTTCTGGTCAGGCAGGATATAAGGGTTTATGTATTAAATAATAATAATATTAATTTAAGATAATAAAATTTGAATAACGTAGTGATATTATATCACAAATATTTGAAGAAAACAATCTTCGGCAAATTGATATTTACAAACTCATATTATGATTCTAAAGTCAACATTATATGATGATTAAAACATAAAATAACTACTACAGAAGAGACAAATATTTGAAGAAAACAATCTTCGGCAAATTGATATTTACAAACTCATATTATGATTCTAAAGTCAACATTATATGATGATTAAAACATAAAATAACTACTACAGAAGAGAACTGCTTTACATAAAAGCAAAGCTTAATGATAGATCCTTCGGAAACATTAATCACAATTAACACGGTTTGATTGAGTCAGTACATGAAATGTTCAGTGTGACGATTAATTGAAACAATGCATATTTGCTTAAAATGAAATAAAATAAACAGTCAATGAAATCATACATATTAAATTGTTTTCTCCTGATGTTAGCGATGTTAATCCGTCATAGCATTCTTCGGCTGCATTTTGATAAGCACACTTTTTCTAAGAATATTGTTTTATGTAAATGTCTTTTTTTGTCATGAACAGCTACTATGTTGATATTTTGAATTTCTGCATAGTATTATTTCCAAGACAGTTATTTGTAACAACAAGACATGATTTATCACGCGAAACACATACTCTATATGGATATTTCATATCTATATTATACGATGATAACATCTGACCTGTTTGGGATATCTGTACAATGGTGTTTGTTTTATTGCTGCACACAAGGATAGTATCAAAGGGACCAACTGTTACACCACGTGGTTCCTGTATCAAATTATCTTTCACTTCGACTCTCGTGTCTGTCTTTATGTCACATATGCAGACAGTATGCTCGTCTCTATCTGTAATCACCACTTTGTCGCTGCTGTTTATATAAGTACTAGCGCTAGTGCCTATCGGATATGTCTTGTTTGGAAAGTTAACACTAAAGTCATGCTCCTCTCCTGTCATTGATACAATACGGACAGGTTTTGGTTCACCAAACGTTCCAACTACAAATTGTTTATCATCTTTCATACATATGGAGTAATATTTCGATTTCACTCTACATGTCTTACTTGAAGTTATTTCATTACATTTACTAACATGTAGAAATTCTATACTGTATTCATTACCACGTGTTATCGCTACTTCCTCCTCGGATACTACAACAACAGATAATGGTATGTAAGACAGCTGATGTGATCCTACTTTCTCAAGCTTCTCATTGTACACTAAACATCTCTTGTTTGTGTTATCTACAGCCACCAGTCTACCATCAGGTAGAAAATCTATTCCTGTATAGAACGGTTCATCGATATCATCTCCCGATTTATCCAAAACAATAGCAGAAACTTGTGTTAAAGTCATCGCCATGTTAACAGAATTTAGATCTTTTTGGCGATAATACTTTAATAGCAATTGTGCTGGAACGTATTCAGTAACTGGTAATGGCGGAAGTTTTAATGTTTCATCAAAATGAAAAGAAATGTTCACCGTCATTAAATTCTGACATTCCTTCCTGATGTTTCTGCAGAGGGCATTGATTTTACTCTCCATTTTCTGTTCTGCTATATATTTCTGAACTGGAGTTCCATTTTTGAAAATACTTTCAATCGTCTCCAAGCACGATGTAACATCAACCAAATGTTTATCGTTTTGTGTTTGTTTCATTGTCAGATATTCTGATGTTTCTCTCTGAAGAGTTTCAGCTCTCTTGATGACAAAATCTTCTAAATCGTCAAACATTCTCATTACTTCGTCTCGCATTCGTCTAACCTTAACATGTATTTCTTTTATATCTTTAGCAAGTTGGTCTTTTGAAGAACGGATGTGTCTTGCAATACCCTCAGCATCTTCTCTAGCTTCCAACAATTTCTCCCCTAATTTAGAACCTACTGACGTCATTTTCCCTGCAATCTTCTCAATTTCTACAACGCTGTGACATTTTCGATGATTTACAATAGCACAAGTACTGCAGCAAAGTATGTTTTCATCTTCACAGAAGAATTTAAAATGTTTTTGATGTTGATCACATATATCTAAGGCCTCCATTATAAACGAAATACTTGTAGCATTAGTTTCTTTCACGCTCACCAATTCATGATTTATCAAGATGTTGAGCACGTTGTGTACATTTGAACAATCATTACATTGGAATTCATTACAAGTTGAACAAAACTTGTCAGCTACAGTTTGCTTATCCTTACTTAAACATGGTTGACACAATGTTTCCTTCACACGACCAGGAATTTCATCAACCTCTCCTATTTTATATCCACTTTCAGTCATTTTGTGGAACGATTATATTGTCTTTATTTGAGATATAACATATATACATGCATTTAAATCTCAAGGTCATTTTCGGCGGCACTGTATTACAGCTTTACAAACTTAGATACAATAAAAACAAGTCAGGTTTTAAGACTGATTTAAATTATGAAATGTTCATGCAAACTAGTATATTGTTCCGATCTAAATGTTATCTCTCTCATCTCTCGAATATTAACGTGTGGTTGATATAAACAATAGATCAATTTGGAACGCGGAGTTTATTTGGAGTATATGTTATGAAGCTATTAGGATATGAAACGTGTTTTTTCGAGATCAAATCTGCAATTGTATATATTGTTTTAGTATTTGTTTTCATTTTCAGAAGATATATTTTTTATGGTTTGTCATGTAAGCTCTCTCTCTCTCTCTTTCATATAGCTTAATTAATTCAATGTTTTGCACAATTGACCATTAAACTTATAATGGTTAAAGTGACATTATGCCCATCCAAAAGTATTTTGTCAATGAATATATAAAAGTCAAAAGAATTTTACATTTTGTTATTTATAATTTACTTCATATGAAAGGAGGTAATTGAAATATCTGTAAATGTCCATCGCAATAATCTGTAACTTTAAATTAATAAAATAGTGGGAATAGCCTTTTTATATTTCAGGTAGATATTTTGTTATCCTTAACATTTTACAATATCAACAACAGTCAATCTTAGGAAATAAACAGTCAGTTCAGATGCGCTTGACAATTAAAAAAATGAGCATATATTATGTAATTTTAGCAGTCATTGAACAAATTGAATATTATTATTACTCTACTATATGTGTATAGGAAGTATCGACACCCCTATTTGTCAATATTGATGTAAACAGATAATTGAAGGAATAAAAAATCTAGCTGTCAGAAATATGATATATTTGTTTTGACTGAATACGAGTAAGAACGAACGCTGTGACAGTATTTTAATTCATAAAATACATAAATATTCTTTTCAGTATGTTGTGCTCAATGCAAATATGTTACCTCAATGATACATAAGTTTAATAAATTAATGATATTAACCCATTTCAAGCTAAATTTTTTAAAAGGATTTATCAATTATTAATTTGAATAGTTCTTTTGGCAATTACGGATCTTTAAAATATATCAAAATATAAAAAAGCTACTAATAATACAGATTTAATAACGATGGTGACAAAATGATAGTGACACTATGACAATACGATTTCAACAGTACGATGGTGACAGAAGGATTGTAAAGCAGGACATTTTTGATGGCGATAGTCCATCGTAAAATCACCATCATAATGTCGTCCTAGAGAAAACGTGCTGGCCAAACGGATCACCGCAGAAATAAACATTCTTTTTATTCCTACTTTCGTCATATTAACATTAAATAAATGAGGGGACTATGGGTTATGTGTTTCCTGTGTAATTGTTTCTTAATCAAGGAATTCTCACAATATTTTATATGTATTTTAAAAACAATACAGCAGAAGGTCTGAAGGATTTTCCTTTTTACAAATACTTACTTCTTTCTTTTCAAAATATAGCCATTTTCTGTGATTTCAGTTTGTTGGAACGAACTATGTCCGTTGTGGTGACGAACAATGTCTCTGCAACTCGTTTAAGACAGTCATTGTCCGCTTTGGCTATACCCCCTGATTTTGATTTTATTTGCAATGAAGAAGAATAAAATTACATATAGGTATATAAACCTGAGTAACATAGTGGTAAGATAGTTAAGATCATGAAGTGCTCAGCCTATCAAACTTTAATTTCGAGTTCAAATCTGCAATTGTGCAAATTTTCAGTATGTTTTTTTTTTTTTTTTTTCAGAAGACATATTCTTTTTATAGTTTGGGATGAAAGTATTCTTTTTCTCTTTTATAAACCTGTAATACATTAACTGCCTTGCACAATTGAAAGTTAAACTTATAACGGATATAGTGACATTACGCCGATGCAAGGGTATTAAGTCAGTGAACGGGCAAATGTCAAAATAACTTTCTATGTTGCTATGATTCATTCAACTTTATAAATTATTTCGCATATGACATTAAGTTAGGGGGGAAATATCTATAAAGATAACATAAATACAAAAAATCTTTTTAAGGATTCAAACATAAATAGAAGAATTATCGACACCCCCATATGTTAATATTAATGTTATCAAATTCAGAAAGCAATTGAGAGCTGTAAGATATTTGATTTTCCTTTTGAGTGATTATGAATTAGATCGAATACGGTTTAAAACTGTTCACTTTGACATCTTAGTCGGCAGAACGGTATTCCGAGGGTACCGGGTTTAAGTCTCTGTTAGGTTGCACATCTTTCGCACCCTCTTACATTTGACGCCAAGCGGGGGACCGTGAATGCATATAGCTCATAGTTTAATTAGCATTCAACTGTAACCGTGAAAAAATCAGGTACGAATTTCAGTATAACGAGAGAGTATGTCACGGTTGAAAACTGTGCAATATTTAGGAGAGAAGAGGTGTAAACGGCCGGATAGCTCAGACGATAGAACCGTTGAACAGTACTCCGTGGGTCTTGGGCTCGAGTTCCGGCCAGGCTGCACATTTTGCTCACCCTGTCACATATGACAGTATCTCAATTTGCCAATTTATCAGCAATAATTAATAATGGAGAGCTATATGGTACCTCTTGAAGTGAACTTATATAATATTGCAGAATAATGTATACTTATGTTTTCCGCTTCAAAGGGAATCGCCTGCCATTATAACTGACTCGTCTACTGTTATTAATGTTAAAAAGATATCACACTGTCACTAGTAAATGAACATTAACTTAAGGATTTTACAACAGCCGTGTTATATTTCAATGTCACGTTTCTATACTGATCAGGGGAAGTTACCGCTACGAGAAGTATATTGTATCAGCAACGGTTACTTTTCCTTAGCAGTACAGAGGTGAGAGGAGGATGTTGTAGCCGAGAATATATTTACTGGTATGAGATAAGAAACCGTTAACTTTATACCTGTATTTAGGGTTAAATAGAAATGTTGAGTATCCTGAGAAAATAATTAATTGAATAAATTAAAGTGCAGAACTTTAATGACCTAAAACATACCTTTATTGGGTTCATATTGCGACAATGTAAAACTATCGGTTTTGAAGCTCGGACCGATATTAATTTATAAATACTTTTAGCCAAATTTCACCCATTTATATACCATAAAATGAATGCTTATTGTATGTCATTAAATTTCTGTCATTTATGTTCTATGAAATGCCTCCCATTTTATATAAGTCTGATATTTGCATAGCCACTTTAAAGCGTGTCAGTAAAGTAAAGGAAAATACCCATAAAATAGTTCCAATACAATATTTTCTCATCTCCTACGTTGTCCTTTTGAATAATAGATTAAATTATTTAATTAATATGAAGCACATTTGTTTGTGATGAATGAAATATGTTTGAAAATTTACTTGCGTATAAAATGGAATGGTTTTTAATTTAGATCTTTTTGTACAGTGGTGAAATTTTAATTTCATAAATTTACGATCTCAAAATCACGAATTTAACATAATTTTTTTTTCAAGAATTCGTAATGTTGAAATCATGAATTTGTCAAGTTGATATTGTGACACTCAAAACGTAAAATCGTGCAGTTAAATTCATGAAGTAGAAATCGTAATATCGTGTTGTTGTAAACGTGAATTTGTGAAGATGAGATCGTAAATTCAAGAGGCAATTAATTACACTATTAAGAAATATTTGAAAGTTTGGGAGTTTAAAAATCATTCTGAATAGAAAAATGATTGATGGACTGATTGATTGACATTAAACATATTTAACATTTCTTTTTTAAAATCTGCTTGAAATTCAAATATAAAACACAAATACTACAACTACGGTTAGTTATTTTTATTTAAACCCAAAGAGTATAATATAAGATATATAATAAGACACAATAAAATATATACATTTTCTTACATAACTTTCATGTAAAGGCTAACAATAATTCTATACATATCTATTATATTATGATATATTTTATAATAGGAAACTCAACTGAAGCCATGAAACTGATGTAAACTTTATCTTAATATCAACTTTCTTGTTATTTATCCTGTACCCGCTTAATTCGTGTTCACGAAATGGATTTGCCTTTTTAAGTTTAGTACAGCCCATTTGAAGTGTATAAGATTTCAATATTATAATACGAGGACTGTTCAATATATGAGACTGTCCTCATATATTTTTATTCTAACATGAAATATAACTAAATGTGGTATCATTATTACATATAACTTATTCTTGATCAGATTAGCTGATTGCTAGAAAAAATATAACGTAACATAGAAATTATTTCCATTTCAATAACCATAGTAAAGCGTTATCGCCCAGCCCGTTCTGTCTTATAAAACGTAACTAATTATATAAAGTAAAGCAAGAAACATTTTTTGCAATGACGTAAAACTCCGCCAATAGTTTGTACATTATATCAGTGACGCCATGTGAAAAAATGACGTCATTGCATCGTAAAACATTGATGTAATCAACATTTGTTCACGGTACCCTGACACGTTGTCACGTTAAGATTATGACGCAAGAACGTCTTGAAGTGCGGGCGAAATTAAGTTTTGCTTGCATTTAGGCAAATCGGCGACGGAAACATTTACAATGTTGTAAGAGGCTAAAGGGAAAGACAGTGTTTGTCGAATGTTAGTGCTTAGGTGGCACAAAAAGTTTTCTGAGGGACTCACATCTATAGGTCCGGCAGGAAAAGTCCGTGAAGCGTCACGCGTCACGTCAATTCAGTCAGCGCTTAATACGGATAGGCACAGCTTGCCGAAATTGCTGACGTGAGCGTAGGAAGTTCGCATCGTATACTGACGAAAGATTTAAGCATAACTATTATAGTGTTGAATAATCCTAATAGAAGTTTAGTAATTTATGTATAACATAACGACGTTTAAACTGCGCAAACGACGTCGCTGACGTCGCGACATGTTGTGCGGGGGCGATAGTGCAAACATAACTTTCTTATAAATTCTGTAACTTTAAAACTGTTTTATGAATTACTTTAACGTTTTCAGATTGTATTCAGAAATGAATGATCTTTGTTATTATGTATTGTATATAACCGTTGAATGTATCAAATAAAAGATATGAACAAAGTCTCATTATATATTGAACAACCCTCGTATAAAAAAAAACTGATCAGACAGGTCGAATATGCAAGCTGGCTTGGCTGTATACTGGTTGCAAAGGCTAACCACTTCCGGGTCAGGGAAGATATTAGGATTTAAAGTATGAAAAGTATGAAAATAATATGAGTAATACCTGAACAAATAACTTTGATAAATTGATATTTACAAACTCAAACATTATATTACAAAGCCAACATTATGTGATGTTTAAAACATAAGATAACTATGGTACAGAACATAACTGCATACGTATAAGCCATGCAAAATAAAAAAAATAAAGAAAGGGTGATCCTTCGGAAGCATTTATCACAATAAAATTACATGAAAATTGCAGACTCGGTTTGATTGAGTCTGTTCAATGTGACGATTAATTGATTAATTCCAAATTTATGCACGTATGCCTAAAATGAAATAAATAATAATATCAATTGAAATAATTGAAATAATTAATATTGAATTGTTTACTCTTGATGTTTGCGATGTTAAATCTGTCTGTCAAAGCATACATTGGACTACATTTTAACGATTTTGATACGCACACTTTTTCCAAGAATATTCATTTGAATATCGTTTTCGCTTAAACAGCTACATTGGTGCTAGAACAAATATAATTCCACGATCCTTCCATCATATGTAACCGATAATTTCTCGTTTCATTACTTTGTGCATTAAGTGTGTAAATCATCATTGTGAACCAGTAGATTGTGTTACTAACATGATATTTTGAATTTATGCAATTTTCTCTTTCCAGGACATCTATTTGTAACAACAAGAAATGATTTATCACGTGAGAGACATACTTTACACGGATTCTCCATATCTATCTTGTACGATGATAGGATCTGACCTGTTTTGGATATCTGTACAATAGTGTTTGTTTCTAAACTACACACCAGGATAGTATCAGAAGGTCCAACTGCTGCACCACGTGGTTCCTGTATTTGATCATCCTTCACTGCGACTCTCGTGCCTGTCTTGATATCATATATGTAGACAGTATGCTCGTATCTATCTGTTATCACAACTTTGTCACTGCTCTTTATGTAAGTACTATCGCATGAGTCTATAGGATATGATTTGTTTGGGAAGTTGACACCAAAATCATACTCCTCACCTGTCAATGATACAACACGAACAGGTCTTGGTTCATCATAAGTCCCTACTACGAAATGTCTATCATCTTTTAAACATATAGAGTCATATTTCGTGTTCACTTTACATGCCCTACTTGAACTAATTTCATTACATTTACTAACATGTAGAAAATATATATCGTTTCCACTTGTTATCCCTATTTCCTCCTCAGATACTACAACAACAGATAATGGGTTGTTAGATAGCTGATATGATCCTACTTTCTCAAGCTTATCATTGTACACTAAACATTTCTTGTTAATGTTATCCACAGCCACCAGTCTACCATCAGGTAAAAAATCTATGCCTCTATTGAACGGTTCATCGATATCATCTCCAGTCTTCTTCAAATCAATGATTGAAACTGGCTTTAAAATCATTGCCTTGTCAACGGAATTAACATCTTCCTGCAAATTTAACTTTAATTGTAATTGTCCTGGAACATATTCAGTAATTGGTAATGGCGGCAGTTTAAATGTTTCGTCAAAATGAAAAGAAATGTTTACCGTCTCTAAGTTCTGACATTCCTCCTTGATGTTTCTACAGAGAGCATTGACGTTATTCTCCATTTTTAGTTCTGCTATATATTTCTGCGCTGATGTTCCATTTTTGAAAATACTTTCAATCGTCTCCAAGCACAATGTTACATCAGCAACATGTTTCTCGTTTCGTGTTTGCTTCTTTGTCAGATTTTGTAATGTTTCTCTCTGAATTGTTTTAGCTCTCTTGGCGACGAAATCTTCTATATCGTCAAACATTCTCATTACTTCGTCTCGCATTCGTCTAACCTTTAAATGCATTTCTTTTATATCTTGAGCAAGTTGATCTTTTGAAGAACGAATATGTCTCGCAACACTCTCAGCAGCTTCTTTAGCTTCCTTTAATTTCTCCCCTAAGGTAGAAATTGGTGAGGTAATATTCCCAGCGATCTTCTCAATTTCTACAACGCTATGACATTTTCTGTGATTAACAATAGCACAAGTACTGCAGCAAAGCTTCTTTTCATCTTCACAGAAAAATTCTAAAGAACGTTGATGTTGATCACATAGATCTAAGGCCTTCATTTTAACCGAAATACTTGCAACATCAGCTTCATTCACGCTCACCAATTTATGACTTTTTAAGATGGCGAGCACGTTGTGTACATTTGAACAATCATTGCATTGGAATTCATTACAAGGTTGAACAAAAACTTGTCCGCTACAGTTTGCTTATCCTTACTTAAACATGGTTGACACAAATGTTTCCTTCACACGACCGGAACTTCATCATCTTCTCCTATTTTACTTCCACTGTCCGCCATTTTGTGTAAACGATATATATTGTCCCTTATTAGATATTACATATATACATGCACATATATTTTACATCTCCAGGTCAATATTCAGCGACTTCAAACAAACTAAGATATTTAAATGAAACAAATCCGGGGTTTAAACTGATTTAACTAAATAAAAATGATCATGTTAGCCGTAATATATTGTTCTGATCCAAACGTTATCTGTCGTTATCTGTTTACTTTAAACTTGGGACTCGGATGAAGTCTATATCTAAATTAAAAGTCGAACACGATAACGTTTACATTATCCGGTCGTACCATAATGAGTTATTCAACTTTTACATGTCACGGTGTATAGCAAAAGTCAAATAAGCATTGCTGTTCAAATTCGGTATTTACTGCATATGACCGGGTACGAAAAAAAGGTAGTATATTTTCAGTATAAATGAAATTTTAGGAAAAGCTGCAAAGCTTCACACCATCTAAGATAATGAGCATAAAGTATGCTCAATAATTAAATTCTTAAAGACAACAACAACAACAACAACATTTATTTAGCAATTAAGCATTACAATGCTTTTAGCCATAATATACATTTGACATAAGGTGACAAATGACACGAGAAATCATTAGCAATCAAATATTTTCTGCATAGAGAAGCTTACACAATAAATAAACTAGTTTGACATAGGTAAATTTAAATCGCTACCAATATAATAATTATCAAATTTCTAAACTATTCCTTAATTTATTTGAAAAAAAATTTATATTTTGATAAGTTTAACAATTGTCTTTCATTATCTGTGGACATCAGTCTATCGAATTTATTAAGAGTTGGCCACCTACAAAAATATGGTTTGAAGTATTTTTTCCTTATTTCTCGATTATATTGGGCAGACAAGAAGCAAATGATACTCATCTTCAATTATATTATCTTGGTTGCAAAAATTTACATATTCTATTAGTTCGTTCTAAATATTAAGATATCTACCTCTTTCTATTTTCTAAATTATGCGAAAGATAATCTAAATCTACTTAAGGGCAATCCGAAATTTCCTTTCACTTATTGAATTTAAATATGTTTCAAAGTTAAAAGATTGTTTAAACCTACAGAAAGGAAGTAAACGTTGTGAATTTTTTATGTTTGCATTACCCAAGCTTGATAATAATTATCTAATATCCTTTGTTTAATTTCTAAAAATGTTAAAATTTTCCCCATTATCTTGATTTATCCATATATTTGAAAGTCCTAGATTTTTTTAACATTGTTTTTATATGAAATGCCCAATTTTAATTATTGTATGTTATATTATTATTGGCATCATTCTTAAGCATGATATAAATTTGTTTTTGCAAAGAGTTGTCTGATTTCAGTAAATGGATCCAATATCTTATCATAATTATTTTTCTAAAATAATCATAGAACTCTCCCTAATTCTCCGTAGAGACCAGTAGTATTAGTTGATTTATTAACCATATAAAAGTTTTCGACAGAATTTTGTATGAATAAGTTCTATATCTGTTCCTGCATTCATTCCCAGGACTTCTGAACAGTAGTTTAGTACAGTAGCAACTAGCGAATCAAACAATTACTTTTTTTCACTAGTAGAAAAATCGTACTTATCAAAAAATTGAAAATAGTTTATGTAAAGATTTAGATGCATGTTCTGCAATACATTTTTGGGTTCTATTCCAATTTGCATTTTTGAAAAAATATACGCCTAAATATTTAAAAGAAGTAACATTTTCTAGTAGAGTATTATAAAGATAAAAATCATAATTTGTATGTCTACTGCCTTGTTCAAAAATCATAACCTTAGTCTTTGAAGTATTTATTTTTAGACCCCATGTATTACATTACAAGGAGAACTAACTCTAAACAAAAGACACAAAAATATATCAAAATTTGATACTTGTTTATTTTATGAATGGGAGAATACGGCCATCGCTCAATGAAAACTTAATTATTATTTTACATACAAAAGAGCGAAGAAAGCCCTGGGAACAGATGCTGACTCGTTCCTTTTTACTTAATACAGCACAAAAAAGGCTGGTGGCGAAAACTAAAAAACGCCACATGCGCAATTCACTTAGGTAGAAAAACAACTGTCCTAAATAACACAAAATTGTCCTTTTTATACTTTCTCATCATAACAAAAAGTCATTTCACTATTGCCGATACACCAAAAAACTCATTGGCTGTTACATCACCAAAGAATCTGTTCTGAACACAATGTCGCATTACCATAGCATAAGGTCTACCAAACTATATGTGAGCCATGACTTGCCTTGACAATCTGAAAAAAAACACATTCAAAAAAACCAGCAGCAAACAGAAACATTTGTTAATTTTAACATATTATTTTGCATAAACACGGGTGTGTGGAGGGCGGGTGACCAAAAATTTCAAGATACATTTAAACTTAAACATGATTATTTTACAAAAATATACCACCCTGTCCAAAAAGTTTGACCTTCCCTTGTACAAGATGGCGAATGGAAAGGTAGACTGCTAAATTCCGGTACAACCGTCATCTACCGTAAAAAATTAAACCATCAAGAATTACTCCCCTTGTAACGTGTTCAAGCATATAGGGCTTAAACAGTAATATATTTTAATATCATTTATCATTGATTGTAAGGATTCTGGTGATGTTGCAAATAACACCTTATCATCTGCGTATAAAATTAAAAAAAAAATTAAATCTTCATATGTGAATAATCCATCTAGATTAGTATTTATATTGTCAACAATATCATTTACAAACATCATAAACATCAAAGAAGAACTCGGGGGTCTCCCTGTTTCAACGCCAAGTGTGAGAGAATTGGCTCAGAGAGTCTATTATTAAACCTAATACGTAATCGAACAGTTCTATACATAGATTTTTATTGCGTTTACCATTCTAGAGCTAACGTTTTCACTTAATAACTTTTGCCAGAGAAATGATCTATTTTTCTTATTCAAAACATTTTTCATAATCAATGAATACACTATATACTTTTTTACCAGAATTTAATAATTTTGAAATAACAGAATGCAAAATGAAAACACAATCGACTGTACTTTTCCCTTTTTTGAAATCCGAATTTGAGATTATTAGCAATTTTCTCATATTGTTATAGTCCATTTAGTTAACCTATTTAAAAGTATCTGAGAATATATTTTGGCTATTATATTATTTAAAGTTACACCCCGATAGTTTTTTGCGTCAGTTTCGTCTCCCGCCTTTAAATATTGGTATAATATATCCATCTCCCCAAGCTTCAGGGTAATCAGAATTTAAGAATAATCTATTTAAATATATTAAGTAAGTATGGGAAATGATATCATACGACGACTTAATAATTTCTGCGGATATACAATCGGGACCACATGCCTTAAAACTTTTTTGTCCATATACTGCGTTCCGAATTTCATTCTCGGTAATATCTTTATCTAAATTTTCATAAATATTGGTTTCTTGTCTAAATTCTGATTCTTGATCATTAGTTTCAGGTATTTCCCCAAAAAGATTATTAAAGTGATCGTAAAGTTCATCTATTTCTATTTTTTCTTCACAGCTGTTTTTACTTTTATAGCATTTTTTTATTGACTTCCAGAATGTACGCGGTTGTGTTTTTGCAATTTCTTCTAAACGTTTCGCTTCATTAATTTTAAAATTTGTTTTTGCTTTTTTTTTATTAGATTGTATTTAGTTCTACTTTTGGTGTATTTTATTCTATTTTCATCAGTTTTATTTCTTAGAAATAAATTCCTAGCTATTTTAAATTCTTTTTTAGCCAAGAAGCATGATTCATCAAACCATTTCGACTTTTTATGTGTCCGAATTTGACATCCTTTCCGAATATTTTCATAGCATTTGAATACAAATATTTTGAAAGTGTCTCGGTCTGTGTTTCAACAGTATAGTTATCCCCAACGCAGGAATCTATATCAGTTTTATTTGCAAGTAGAAGTTCTAAAAAATCTTTTACTTTGTCATTATCCCAAATTATTTTGTTTTCAGTAACATTTTCTTTAACCCTGCTATATGTCTGATCATTAAATAGACGACATTTTCTATTAAAGGTAAAACATAAAGGTGCATGATCCGAAAATTCATTCCATTCTAGAATATCAAAATCAGAAATAAAACTATAATTCAAAAAATGTGATAAAAGATAATCAGTTACACTAAGTCCACGTGCTGAGCAGAAGGTAAAGTCACCTTTACCTTGATCTCCATGTATTCGACCATTAAGTATGATATATCCTGTACTTTTACACATAGAAATTAATTTTTTTCCATTATTATCAATACAATTATCTTGATTTATACGTATTGGTATATTACTAATTTCAACCATTAAATCATCATCATTATCAATATCAAGGTATCTATCATACTCTAAAATATCATTTAAATCGGACGTTCTTGAATTGAAGTCTCCTATTACATAGACTTTTCCTAATTTACTATATTTTTGTATACCTTTTTCAATTTCTTCAAAAAAATCTACTTCTTTATGATTTAATACATTTGAGCCTTTCGGCGGAATAAACAAATTACATAAAAATACATCTTCATTGATTTCAAAAACATCATGAGAAATTTTAAGCCATATAAGTCCATCATTGTTCTTTTCAATAACAGATATTTTACTTTTTAACTTATTACGAAAATATATTGAGAGTCCTCCACTATATCGACCTTTCTTAGTTCCTATGCTTTTATTACCAAAAATATGAACACTGCTATATCCTTCGATATCTATATTGTATGTATGTGTTTTACTTATCCA